GGGCGGTGGAGAGCCATCCGGAGACTTGTGCAAACTGAGGAGAAAGCAAAGGGTCAAAGAGCTGGTGGGTGACAGAAAGTTGCTCACGGACTCCAACGCATAAGAAGGCTGTAATCCTGCAGTCCGGCTCCAGCAGTCAAGGGAAGGCTTCTCTGGAGCACAGAGTCTGGGTTTGAAAAGCTGTTCTCCACCCTCATCTTCCAAAAATATAGTTGGTCCGACAGCTCCAACAGGCACCCCAGACTCCTGGGGAGATACACTGCCGTGCTATTCTTAGGATTATTTGTGCAAATGTACTTGCTCTAGCATCACACATTTCTCCTTCCAGTGAAACTTTTTGCATTAAAATAAAGTCACAGGTTTGTATGGCACCAAGACCCCCAAAGTAGTGTATACATGTTGATGTTTAAAGATCAGATAAGTAGATGGCTACAGGTGTGGATTCACTCCCAGGAGTAACCTGAGATGAGAGGGAAGGCAAAGATTGCTTCTGTTTCTCTTTTCAAGGAAAGATGTTTTTAAGACACTTAACAAGAAAGGATCTTTAAGGGGAAGAGAGGCTTTGGGGGGGCAAAGATGAAAACGTGGAGATGAAAAGTGAAGACCCCTGGCTGCTTCCTCCTCAGCAGTGACCGGGCACTTCCCTGTGGTCATGAATGAACTGATGGGACTTTTCATTTCATCCCATTTTCAGTGTTACAATCAACCCCATCTCCAGGCTCTCTTGCCGCGAGGCTCGGGCTTTCCTTCTAGCAGCCTGGCTCTAGGAACCGTGAGTAGGCTGGGACCTGGCTTTATGGGAGCCCCAACCCAGGAAGAGTTGGGGAAGGTGGGAAGAACTAGGCCTGGCCCTCTGAGGAAAGGGATTTGTGAATGACAATGCCACTCTTCTGGAAAATGGGCTGGGCGGGCATAACGCTTTAGTTTTCCTTCTTTTTTCTTTTTTTATTTTTATTTTTGAATGGGAGGCTCAGAGGGCACTGGGGAGGGAGCACTGGTTGACTTCAGCCCCTTAACACAGAGCCTATTTTGTGTCAGGAATGCCTTGAGAAACTAGGAGATGGATGGAAAAATCATCTCACTGCCATTTGAAACTTATGTCCAAACAAACACGATAATTCTCATGGCTCTGAAACTGGTTTGGGGCATATTCATTTAAAACAGCCGCAAATCCTGTATCCCTCGCTTTTCTGTTTGCTTGGCTCTCCTTGGTTTCATTGACCTCCGATGAAGCGTTAAGGTTTCACATCTTCACTTTCTATATGGTGATGTAGGGATGGCGTGTTGTTGATGCTATGATGGAGTCTGGTTGGGTTTCCAGGTTAGTGGAGATTGTACATCATTTCGAAGATGTGCCTGCCAAACTCTAAGCCTGTGTGTGTCAACAGGCAGCAATAGAAAACGCAGCTGTAATTGTAAAGGGAAAACTTAAAGGATTCCCCCAATCCCACTCCCCTGCATTTTGACTCCTAACAGCTGATCAATTAGCAGGCACTATACTGACTCTTCACTATGTCCTAGGATGTGCCTCACTTGGGGAAAGCTGTGGGAAATGGTTCTTTCTCATCCTACATGTTTTTATTTTGGTATGGGTTTTTTAATGCATGCTCCTACATAGTTAGTTCCCTGAGAAATTTACTTTTCCCAGGGGACCTAGCAACTTGCTTAAGGGCTGGTCAGGATTGGAGGCCTCAGGCTTTGCTGTCTCACCATTTCCCTGTGCTGAGGCGGCCTGCATGGGTCTTATAACGTGGGTTAGAGAACCACTCTGGATCAAGCTGATAGATGTGAGCACATGGGCACTCATTGGGGGCCTCGCTTGATCATACACTTTCTAAGGTAGAGAATGCCTTGCTGATTCTCTGCATCTTGTCCTAAAAAGCAACTGTCTATTCGAGAGTAAGGTCACTCTCCATGCTTCCTTCCAAGTTTTTAGACTGGGCACCCTGTTTGGAACTTCCTTTCCCTCTCTCTCTCTCTCTCTCTCTCTCTCTCTCTCTCTCTCTCATTTCACAGCGTTTCAAACGAGGGGCTGAAGCTATGCTATTCCCTGCCTGACTGTAGTTTCTATTTCTTCGGGGACAAAGTGAGGCTGCTCTTCTGCCCTGTGTACCAGGAGGAGAGTGACTCCGAGACTTGAGGGGAGGGAACAATAACAGGCAGGGATGCAGTCACTTTAGAGGCGCCCTTTAGAATCGGGGGTCTCCAGGATCCACTCCCCCGATGCACGCAGACTATTCGGCTTTCCATTCCTAGATCAGATCCGTGGCTCCGGCACCGTGGCTGCGTTTTGCTGCGGGGCTGGGAGGTGGTTGTCAATGGAGGGTTGGTTAGGTGTTAGCTTTCGTGCCTGCCCCGAAAGGATCTAGATGTGACTCGCTCTCGCCTTCGCTTCCCCCTCCCTCCCTCCCTGTAACACGCCAGCCGTGCACAGTCGAGTGTCAGGGAGACGGTGACGTCACCTTGCCCGCTGGGTGGCGTCCCCTCCGTCCGACACGAGTTCCAAGACAGAGAAAGGCGCTGTCAGACTGCGCTCCACCTGCGCTCGCCTGCCGCGGGGTCCGCGCGCCCACACTGTCTGCGGCCAAGGGGACGCCCCGCCGCAATTCGGGCTGTCATTCTCCCCTGACGGGAGTTCGGGTTCGAGCGCCATTGAGCGCCAACGAGCTCCAGGATCTTCGCGCGGAGCCCTCCCGAGTCCCGCCCTCTGGATTCGAGGACCCGCTTGGATGCTTCCCTTCCGAGCGCCCTCGGAAGATGGACCGTCACCCACGCGCCTAAAGACACCGAGGAGTCACCAGGTACTGCGGGACCCCGCCGGCCCGGGCTCGGCACACACGCGATTCGCTATCTGAGATCCCCAGCGGGGGATTCTCCGGGTTAGGAAAGGGGCGGCGGTGGGTTTCGGCGGCGAAATCGGTTGGGGAGCCGGGGCAGTTAAGTTGGGGTCGTTGGCTCATGAGTAGGACAAGGAAGTTCTCCAGCTTCCGTTTTCAGTTCAGCTAACTTTTAATGGTTTCTTCTCCCCTCGCTCTCTGTTTTAGAAACCCCTTCCCAAGCCCTCTCATTTGTGTCTCCGCCGTGACGGGAGTTTCTGGGAGGGCTTGGGGGAGAAGGGGAGACACTTCTGCTCAGGCTGCAGCTGCTAAGGCTGCGTGCGGGTTTGTAACGCAAAACCAGCTCTTCGCCAGGGCCAGGCCCGCAGCGCTCCATTGCCCCAAAGCGAGCGTTCCGTCATCCCAGGGCCTTGTTAAGATAAAAAATCTTGTTTTGGGGGGTTAGGGGGAGGGAAAGAGCGTTAAAGGACCATTTGTGGAAGCCAGAGCTGGCTGACAGGCCCAGGTATCGCCATGCCTTGAATTGCCATTTAACGCCCTGTCCCCTAGAAATTGTCTCTGGTCTCTTCTGAGTGACAAGCCAGGCTCTCTCTCAATCGGTTTTATCGGGTTGAGGTTTGTTCAACCTTCCTGGAGGCCACAAAAGGTAATGAGAGCTGAGGATCCAGAGGGCAGAAGGGCAAAGGCGTGTTGATAGGTGTCTCAGGGGCGGAGAGAGGGCAAGAATATGACAGTTTGGGTGAAGGAGTAAGATGGTGTGTCCTCTGAAGTCGCTGTAATAACAGACTCCAGTGTACTTGTCCGCGTGTGGCCATGCTACTGCCTCAGTGACTTTCCAGGGCAAAAGGGAGTCGTGGCCGCTGCGCCCCACGTGAAGTGTGGCTGTAGATAGGTCACTGTCCTCTTTCCTAGGGAATGAGCCACTTTCCTGGTTTTGACTTATCTGCCTTGTCACCAAGGTTTCTTTCCCTTGCTTTTTCTCTTATCTTCAATTATCTGGACATTTTCCCTCATTACGGTATCCCAGAGAGAATGGGAATTTTACCGCAGGCCCAACCCAGAGCTTCCGCTTTCAAGGCTCCCACCGATTACCTGGTCCACAGATGATCTATACTGTGGAACACATCCGCCTGAAAGGTATGGGGAGAGCTATACAGACCAGAAAAAAACTGTCACAGAAAACGGTCCACCTTACACCTAAATTTGCCGTTGAAGCCCGTCAATAATGATCCCCCCAAATTGTTAGCCTCTTTGCACTGTTTCTGGACTTAACACACTCATCCATGCTTATTTGTTCATCGTAATAGAAATGACAGGAAAATGGGTTTTAAATGTTTACTAGTCGACAACTTCATATTTTAAGCTGCCTACCAAACCAGAACCGCTCAGTTCAAAAAGTGGCTTTTTGAAAAATTGAAAGTGCAATGCCCTATTTTGGTGCAACCATGCACATGGCTTTGTACATTTTTCCCATCTTTCAAAAAAAAAGTCTAATTACAGTACGAAAATATATAATGGCAAGGATGAGGGGTGAGGGGTTTCATTTTGCCTTAATGAGCTGTGTCTCAACCAGGAGTGAATTTCTCCCAAGGAAACCACAGATACCACAAAATCACTTTTTAAAAGGTTTGGGTTTATTTTTTAAAAAACCAAAATCGATTTGCAGGCAAATGTTCTCTTTTTAAATTTGGGCTTCAATGGCCAAGCTCCAGTTTTCCATAACTTTTGTAATCTGCACTAGTTATAACTGTCATCCTTATTTCTAGCAGGCATGCCACTTATTCTAACAGCTTCTATAAATAAGAGGATAAGAGGTAATGTCTTTGGTTTCTTAGGAATTGACTGCGTTTTAAAGAAAACACATAGCTAATTTACTTCGGATGATTGGAACAGAGATAAAAAAAAAATCCTTCCAATCCACCATTTCAGAAGGGCGACCTTGAAGAAAATTGAGAGATTACTTCCTCATGTCTGAAACTTGGTGCCTCGGCCCCTTGATAATCATGTCTTAGTCTAAGCAAGGACATTGTTATAATTCTTCCGGTAGGGACTCAACCCACCCCTGTTTTAGACGGAAAGGATTCTGATCGGCGCTTTCTCCTTTCCCTTCCAGTCTCCAAGGCAGACCCGGAGGGCTGGGCCCGGGCTCCCGCGGAGGAGGAGATGGCTTCCAGCCCGCTGCCGGGGCCCAGCGACATCCTGCTGGCCTCCCCTTCCAGCGCCTTCCAGCCCGATGCGCTGAGCCAGCCGCGCCCGGGCCACGCCAACCTCAAACCCAACCAGGTGGGGCAGGTGATTCTCTACGGCATTCCCATCGTGTCGTTGGTGATCGACGGGCAGGAGCGCCTGTGCCTGGCGCAGATCTCCAATACTCTCCTCAAGAACTTCAGCTACAACGAGATCCACAACCGCCGCGTGGCGCTGGGCATCACGTGCGTGCAGTGCACGCCGGTGCAGCTGGAGATCCTGCGGCGCGCCGGGGCCATGCCCATCTCCTCGCGCCGCTGCGGCATGATAACCAAACGCGAGGCCGAGCGCCTGTGCAAGTCCTTCCTGGGCGAGAACAGGCCGCCCAAGCTGCCCGGACAACTTCGGCCTTCGACGTGTCTCACGAAGTGCGCGTGGGGCTGCCGCGGCAGCTTCATTCCCGCTCGCTACAAACAGCTCCCGCAACACAGAGTGCATCAAATGCAGCTACTGCAACATGTTACTTCTCCCCCCAACAAGTTCATTCTTCCACTCCCACCGCACGCCTGACGCCAAGGTACCACGCAGCCGGATGCCGCCAACTTCAACTCGTGGCGTCGCCATCTGAAGCTCACCGACAAGAGCCCCCAGGACGAGCTAGTCTTCGCCTGGGAGGACGTCAAGGCCATGTTCAACGGCG